CAAGCAAGCACACCCACACACATTCCTGCGAACTGTTACATAGCAAGCACACCCTCCCACTCACCTGCAAACTGTCACATAGCAAGCACACCCACTCACCCACCTGCAAACTGTCACATAGCAGGCACACCCACCCACACTCACACCTGCAAACTCACATAGCAAGCACGACCACACACACACCTGCAAACTGTCACATAGCAAGCACACCCACCCACACTCACACACACATAGCAAGCACAAACTGTGCAAACTGTCACAAAGCAAGCACACCCACCACCCACTCACACACCTGCAAACTGTCACATAGCAAGCACACCCACCCACACTCACACCTGCAAACTCACATAGCAAGCACAACCACACACACACCTGCAAACTGTCACATAGCAAGCACACCCACCCACACTCACACCTGCAAACTCACATAGCAAGCACACCCACCCACACACCTGCAAACTGTCACATAGCAAGCACACCCACCCACACCACACACCTGCAAACTGTCACATAGCAAGCACACCCACCCACACACCTGCAAACTGTCACATAGCAAGCACACCCACCCACCCACACACCTGCAAACTGTCACATAGCAAGCACACCCACCCACACACCTGCAAACTGTCACATAGCAAGCACACCCACCCACCCACACACCTGCAAACTGTCACAAAGCAAGCACACCCACCCACACACCTGCAAACTGTTACATAGCAAGCACACTCCACCCACACACTGCAAACCATCACATACACACACCCACCCACACACCTGCAAAGCATCACATAGCAAGCACACCCACCCACACACCTGCAAACTGTCACATAGCAAGCACACCCACCCACACACCTGCAAACTGTCACATAGCAAGCACACCCACCCACACACCTGCAAACTGTCACATAGCAAGCACACCCACCCACACACCTGCAAACTGTCACATAGCAAGCACACCCACCCACACACCTGCAAACCATCACATAGCAAGCACACCCACCCACACACCTGCAAACTGTCACATAGCAAGCACACCACCCACACTCACACCTGCAATCTGTCACATAGCAAGCACACCCACCCACACACCTGCAAACTGTCACATAGCAAGCACACCCACCCACACACCTGCAAACTGTCACATAGCAAGCACACTCACCCACACACACCTGCAATCTGTCACATAGCAAGCAAACCCACCCACCCACACACCTGCAAACTGTCACATAGCAAGCACACCCACCCACACCACACCCACACACCTGCAAACTGTCACATAGCAAGCACACCCACCCACACACCTGCAAACTGTCACATAGCAAGCACACACCTGCAAACTGTCACATAGCAAGCACACACACCCACACACACACCTGCAAACTGTCACATAGCAAGCACACCCACCCACACACCTGCAAACTGTCACATAGCAAGCACACCTACCCACACACCTGCAAACTGTCACATAGCAAGCACACCCACCCACACACACACCTGCAAACTGTCACAGCAAGCAAACACACCCACACACACAAACCGCACAACTGTCACATGCAAACTGTCACATAGCAAGCACACCCACCCACACACCTGCAAACTGTCACATAGCAAGCACACCCACCCACACATACACCTGCAAACTGTCACAAAGCACGCACACACACACACACAACTGCAAACTGTCAGAAACAATAAGATTGATAGAATTATATAGCATCATATTTCTCCAGGCAAACATAAAGCATTAACTTGTATCTTCCAATTCAATTATTGATTACAGAAATTAGCTCCCAATTCTTCCTGTCCCTATTAATGCGCTTCATTAATCACACTCACTACATACATCTCAAGAACAGTTGTGATTGTGATGTAGGCAAATAGTTTGGGCAGTAATCACGTAACACAATATATGTGGGCTAGGTCAAACATTAATCACACCACACATATACCCAATTTGGCTGGAATCTGACATGGTAAGTGTTCACAATGATTTTAATTAATATGGCTTTTGGCTTAGTTTCAAATGGTTGTTAAAACCATCATATAAATATACTTCGAAACATTTGCCACAGTCTTACAAGGAGGAACAGCATTACCCCTGTCTGACAGTAGCGTAGGTAGGTAGATGGGGACAGTGGCAAGGGTAGAGAAACATCTGCCACAGTCTTACAAGGAGGAACAGCATTACCCCTGTCTGACAGCAGCGTAGGTAGGTAGATGGGGACAGTGGCAAGGGTAGAGAACGGTGGGGCTAGGGGACTCAGGGACAAACAGGAGGAGGGACCAGGGTGACAGATCCATGTTGACAGATAGGGGTTATCTCTAGATGGCTAATAATGAGTAGCTTGATAGACTATGATGTAGAGGCACACTGTTGACTGGGTACTGTGGGCAGGGAGGGTCTCGGGGAATGCATAGAGTGGGTAGTAGAGGTGGAGCGTACTGTACTGGAACTGTACTTGTAAGTTTAAGCCTCACCCCACCATGTTGTCCTCCCAGGCTGTAGGTACTGGTATATAGAATATAATGAAGGCTTGTAGATGAATTGGCTTTGTGTTTGTTGGCTGAGGTCTAACATCAGATCCTTATCACTGTGTGTGAAGTCATAGATAACTTTCAGAGTTCAGTGGACATGAAAACACTCAACATTAGGAAGTATGTCTTTCATCAACAGACAGCCCGGGTAAAGAGGGTCCTCAAGTAGGACGTTTCCTAGCAATAGACACATTTCATGGGTGAGGTTTCCACTGAACAGCTTGAATGGCTGGAGGATTGGTGTATTCATATTGAGTATGTTAATTCATGACATCTGAGTAATGTTAGCCAAGATGTACTCTGTCTGATCTTAATGAACTTCTAATCTGTCGCTAACATTTCAAGGATTCTTGCAATATTAGTGTGTATGCCATGTGATGTTTATTCTGATTTGTTAATGCATAAATGGTAATGTGGAGTGTGAGAGTTTTTCAAGAAGTTTTACTTTTGTTTGAGGAATACTAAGGTGCAGATTCCACACGATAGTGATGGCATTGTTTTGTGTAACTGATTCAGGAGCAAGTCGGATGTAGCCTGTGTTTCTCATAAGAAGTAATTAATTAGGATTTGGAGGTTAAATGATGCTCCTGCTATAAGTCCTGGTTTGTCTGACCCACACTCAATTACACATAGGTTGATGGCTGCATTAACAGCAGTTGTATGTAGTTTGCAAAACAGACAGAAATAGATGTATTTATGTCTGTGTACGTCATCTCTAACTATTCACTTCTATGCTGGAATATTAGGACTAAACGAGTTTTCTTAAATATTTTGATGAGAAATGAATTCATTCAAACTAGTTATGCCACATTTACCATGAACTCAATACATTTCTGTTGGAGCGTTTCTGTATCAAGTGAAGTAATCATAGCTCCTTGACACAACAGCAGTTTCTGCCGTTCACAGAAATATTAAAATGTCTGACATATCTAGGTTATGATTCACCAACACCAATATGAGGCGAGAGGAGATTGCAGCATGTTCAGAATCATGCCAGTGAATTAAGATGAAGTTCCATGGCTGCACAGCACCTAAATGTGAACCAGTGTCGGCTCACTGTAGATGACCAGATTAGGGCCATGTGTGACCTGATTCAACAACTTTATACTTCCTCTTTGCATGATAACATGTACTGGATCGACACATGTCATAGTGACCCATGTTCAAATTTAAAGGCCCCCCTCAAATTCATGTCCCCATGTGAATTTTACACATATACACACATGCTCAAATGCGCACACACGCACAAGTGAGGACAACCCGTGAAGATCCGGGCTAGAATTGGTCTTCAGTAACCCATGCTTGTCGTAAGAGGCGACTAACAGGATCAGGTGACTTGGTAGACACATGTCATTGGTTCCCAAATGCGTAGATCGTTGCTCATGATGTTGACCACTGGAATGTCTGCTCCAGACTTGATTATTTACAGACTGCCGCTGGAATATTGCTGAGTGCGGCGTTAAACTGAACTCATTCACTCACATGTGAGGACAGACTGGCCTCAGTTCACACGTAACTGGGGGCGGTGGGGTAGTCTAGTGGTTAAAGCGTTGGCTCGTCACGCCAAAGACACGGGTTCGAATCCCGCAATGGGTACAATGAGTGAAGCCCATTTCTGGTGTCCCCCGCCATGATATTGCTGGAATATTGCTAAAAGCGGCGTAAAACCAAACTCAGTCAGTCACACATAACTGATAAACGTTTCCGTCGATGATGACACAACTCATACAGAACAATACAAGTCACATTACAGGAGCAAGGGAGATAACTGTGATGCTTATGATCTTCAAGTTAACTTTGGCCAAAAACATTCCAGAAAAAGTTTTCCATAACAGCATGTATACATTGATCTTTATCCGAGGAAGAGAGTTTATGTGCCCGAATACTATGTACCATGTTATACCATGTCATATGTACAAGTAACATTTGAAATTGCTAAGTACACAGAGCCTTACGTTGTGCAGGAATGTCCTGTGAACCTTGGTTCCGTAACACGGCCATTTCCTTAACACTGATAATGATGCCATAGATGGTGTTGTTTGTTGCAGTAACAACAGGGTGGTGACAAGTTTCGTGTGGATTGTATATTGAGTCGTGGATTGATGTTGACTCTTGGTTGTTGATTATTACCTAAACTGTAGCAGGTTTACTGCAATCAATTATGAAAATATTACATCAAAGTCATTCAGGAAAATGCAGGTTTGTTGTGTTCTGGAATGTTTATTGTAGTAAAGGTGACTGATAATACACCTTGGTGTGTGATCATAATCAGCAGTACTAGCCAGACTGTTCCTGAGGAAACAGACAGGTAGGCCTGTCACATTCTGAAGTGTTCAGGTTGTTCCCTGGCAAGCAGACAAGTAGAGCTCATTCTGAACAGTCTAAGAACTTTTTTGACCTGTTGTCATAATGTTTAAAGAAACTTAACCTTTCTGTGATCTGTAAAATGTTGCTTATGATTTCAGATTTCAAACGGGACCAAACAGAATGGCACATCAGAGCCTTTCGAGCTGTCTTTTGAAGTGAGTACCTCTAATGACACAGCCCTAGAATCTTCCACAGAAATAGCCGATTCTTCAGAAAACATGTCTTCGTCAAACCCCCTGTATGACTTAACCACTGAGGAACCTCCATCAAACCCACTGTATGAGTTTGAGAGTCAAACCACAGAAACAACGGTGGTGAAGTCTTCCAGTCAGCAGTTTGAAAACGCTGATGAAGAATGTGCTCCCTCTAACCCTCTGTACGAATTCTCGAATAATGGTGACCTCCAAGTGGAAACTACCATCACTACATCAGAATCAGCAAGCTCAAATCCCCTGTATGACCTCATGTCCAATGGAAATAGTGGATTTGACGAGCAGGTCACTGGAACTGCCACAACGGGTGGAGAGGATTTCCTCATCGATACCAGCACCACCAGCGAACAGCACTATATTGATGTCTCCAACAGTACTTCAAAACAGGAAGAGTTCATTATGAATGAACCTTCAGGGGAACTGATTGGTGAGTTTGAATCTAGGGAGATCATTCAGGATGAGCAAAAGTACAAGGGGACGTAACTCAAGATGACCAAGCATATGAGGAGATGAATCGTCCAAGTGACCAAGTGGATAATTTAATTGATGATTATGAAAATACACAAATTGTTTCAGATGTGATTGTGCCCGAGGAATCATATACTGAAGAAGCACCAAGGGAACCCTCACCTGAACCTGTCAGAGATTCTTCTCCAGATATCATGAGAGAACCTTCTCCAGACATTATGAGAGAACCTTCCCCAGAGCTTGTCAGGGAACCTTCTCCAGAACCAGTCCGGAACCCACCCCAGAACCAATCCGGGAACCTTCACCGGAACCAATCCGGGAACCTTCACCGGAACCAATCCGGGAACCTTCGCCGGAACCAATCCGGGAACCTTCGCCGGAACCAATCCGGGAACCTACCCCAGAACCGATCCGGGAACCATCTCCAGAGCCAGAACCAAAACAGGAGGTAAGATCTATTAAGTTTTCTGTACCGTTTCTTTATGATTTATTGTCAGTGGTTATTGAGCTGCAGAGGCACAGGTTTACCCTTTTCAGATGCTGTGTATCATCAATACAAGCAGGTGTCAGAGAACAAATTCCATCAATTTCTTGTTGTTAGTTTAACAGCTCTACAATATTCTCAGGATCACAGGTTTAGTACCTTGTTGAACTCTGTCCAAGATCATCAACCAATAAGAAATTTGTAAATTTGAGCCAAAAAGTAAATTTTGTATGGTTTCTATCTGAGCGTGAGAACGGTTATAGAGACACTTGCAGTATTGATGGTAGATGGAGTGTTTGGTGTTCGGTACAAGATTTGGCCATTGTCTACAAACAGAAGGGTTGTGTTTTGACCTGAACAAAGTGGTTTAGGCAGATATTTCTGAGTTGAAGTTGAATTCTCAGGACCTGTCAGCCTCGGCCAGTGGTCAAGGAAATGCTAAACTACTGCATGCATGGAATGCTTATTGTTGATGGTATCAATGTAATACTGTTGCAACTGAATATGATTAAAATAGGCATGTTGTCAAATTGAGCATGGTTCATGATGCATACCTTTGCTTGATTGAAATTGTCTGTATGTTTAACCTGTTTTCTGTTCAAAACTTAGGGACAAGTACTTGTTTGTATCAGGTACATAAAGTGATGATGATGATGATGATGATGATGATGATGATGATGATGATGATACCAGATATTTCAATGTTCCATTTCAGACATTTTATCAGTTGACCTGTTTGTATCATGTTGTAAATGATTCCTTCAATGTTATGTATTTGTGAACAAGCCTTAGTTTGTTTGGTTGTACAGGCTGCATGCCATGCTTAAAGATGGCGACTAAATTGTATATATTGTTATAACTTATATTCTTTGTGTACATCATTTATTATATTGTTATATTACAACAATATCGGTATCATTTTTTTAGTATGTGTTTTTCCTGGAAATGCCAGACCAGCTTATTACTTCATCTACATATTTATATTCCCTGGAACCAGAATACAAGAGGGAAAAATCGGAAAATATTAACTAACATCTTTTATATGACAAATTGATTTTTTAGAAAAGAATTACACCCTCTGCTTGCAAGATGTGAATATATTTGTAAATCTTAAGATTTAATATGACTGAATGATTATTTCCCTTTGTGGATTTTATAATAACATGCAGATTAGATTGGTCTGGTCTTTTCATGAATCTGATCTGTGACCGAGTCGAGAGCCCAGGTCAGCATTGTCATATGAGCCAGTCTCGTGTAGCTCATCAATATTGTATCGTTAGACGCTGGGTCATACTGCTCGGACAACATTGGACGTTAGAAGCAGATATCAATAATGCATGATAAAGTTGTACATCATGTTGTAGATCAATAACATGTTTAATAACATTGTACATATGATGTATCACATACATGTGATGTATTTCTTGTATCAACTCATGGCCTTAGACAGATACAGGGACTTTCAGAATGACAGACTTCTTATACCAAGATATATGTTATATAAACATTGTGAGAAGTTATGATGGGAGCTTTATTTATTTGCTGACAAATGAAAACCTTCAATAACCAGAGGATTCTCCAAAATATGAAAAATATAAAAAGAAGAAATCACTGCTGTTGTTCCCCAAATAGTCAATGATTTAAGGGGCTATATTTTCTCATTTGACACTCTGGTTCTTGTATTTTGAGCATAATGATTAGGACAAAAGCCAGTTACTTTAATTCTCAGTTTCAAACAATTCGTTATGGGATAAGAGTGTATCTGAATACAGTTTTCATGAATGAGTGATTAAAAACTGGTTAAACTGACATGAAGATTTTATGGTGCTTCTTCTGACATAGACCAAGTCAGCCATTGTTCACTGAGGAAATAATGAATATGGTCAAGTTGCCTCCTGGTTGGGAGATAGCTACTTGGGTCAGTGACATGGACAACATGTTGCCCACCACCCTGCACACCTGCATGACGGCGTGGTGTTGCAACCGCTACTGGCAGCAATACATTCCATGGGATCAATGCTCCTCATATTGACACATTCAGCATTTGTTGGCTTTGGCTGGCTCGTCCAATACTGTCTGTTGGGTGAGAAAGTACTCTAACACTTATACGGAACTAAATTGATCAACTGAGACCTCATTTGGCCATTGCGTGAGAGACAGAATCAGAATTCCAGTGTGAAGGTTTAAGATGGTCACGTCTGTTGCTGTAACCCATGGAGGGGTACAGGAAGGGGAGATAACCTGATTGCGAGTCTGCATTTGAGGATGTTTACCACTTATGTATACTGAAGATGTGTCAGTGGAGTTTCTCTACAGGTAGGCCCTCTGGAGATACTGGCTCCTTAAGACTAGTTTGAATTAAATTTCCATGTCCTCTTGTCCAGATGTATGTCAGTGTATGGTGTTTCAACAATAATGTTTGTTGTTTAAATTAAGGGTTGTATGATTCTCTGACGTGTTATCTATGTGTGGCTGATCAACATTTTATAGGGTGAATATGGATAGGCATGGTACAGGATTTGGAGAACCTTGTTTACAGACTCTGTATGTAGTAACCAGGGTCAGTTTCTCTGTCATGTTTTGTTCACTTTGAGAACCTAGAAATCCTAAATCCACTCCAATATGCATTTGTATCAGTATTCAGATGGTAAACCATTTTATCATTAAATCACAATACCTTTCATAACAAACTCTTGTAAAACATCAGGTATTATTAATACGCTGTTGTATTGTAATCAGTTTATTTCCCCAAGACTTTCCATGTGTTGATGGTAGCTTTGGATATGATTGGTTTGTATGGTCTCCTGAAGTTTGATGTATGTCTGTTTGGTTGTTAAACATAATAAAGAAGGATTGCATATGGATTTCACATAACTTTCATCTTGTTAGTGACAAGCTAGCACAGATTAGAGTAGTGAGATTTATGTTCTACAGAGCCATGGAGGAATAATAAGTGTTATCAGACCTGTGACCTATACTCAGTATATTGACCTGTGACCTTGACCTACCTCATCTCCCCAGGTGCTAGTGACTTGTGAATCAAGGTGTTATTTTTCCATTGTTGTATTATTGATGTCCAGTTGCACATCAGGCAGTAACTTGCAGTAGTACCACTATAGATTTTATTGTGTGGCCCGACAGTCAATAATTATCGTTTCATTGTTGGAACTCCCAGATCACTACATTCACCAGTAGTCACCAACAGTAGTCACATCCAGTTATTGTCCTGAGTTTTTATGGGATTAGGGCTTTGTTTGGATATGGCATTGTGTAAACAGGAGATAAACTACCTCGCCAAGTGTGGGTTGTTGCCTGGCAAAGATGGGACTGGCAGTGAAAGTACATTAGGCTGAGCTTGACAATTGTGGATTTAGTCGTCACTCAAGTGATGAATGTCAATCGCATTGCTTTTCTGTATCAATCATATTTGAGCATGATAATAGCATTGGTTCAAGATTAAAGAGCTGTTTCCTCCTCTTTGTGCAGTGATTGTCAAGGCTGATGCCATTGTGCTGAAAATGAGTCACTGTTAAATTTGATGACAAGAAACGCCTAGATTGTCATGGAAATTCAGTATGACAGAATACAGCATAGCTGTTACTGGACACATTGTTGCCAAGCATGGCAGCTGTGAATACTGTTATTTGGTATATTTGTGTACTGTACATTGAACAGAACATCTCAGACTGTACACTGAACACATGACCTGAGAGAGGATCACTGGTGTGCTACTTCTACCACTGTATCCTCCAGTGACCCCAGGGCATTCCACACTGACCAGGGTCTGGATGCTGGATTGATATATCACTAACAGACAGGTGTTATATTGATTCATGCTGACAAATAGATGGTCGTCAGTCTGTAGGATCAACAGTGGGCCAGGTCAGTAAGTGTCCTAGTCGGTATTTATCCAGGGTGGATACTTGATGCTGTAGGCCTGTTGGGTGGATGGAATTGATACTTGATGCTGTAGGCCTGCTGGGTGGATGGAATTGATACTTGATGCTGTAGGCCTGTTGGGTGGATGGAATTGATGCTGTAGGCCTGTTGGGTGGATGGAATTGATACTTGATGCTGTAGGCCTGCTGGATGGAATTGATGATGGAATGGATGGAATTGATGCTGTAGGCCTGTTGCTGTGGATGGAATGGATACTTGATGCTGTAGGCCTGTTGGGTGGATGGAATTGATGCTGTAGGCCTGTTGGGTGGATGGAATTGATACTTGATGCTGTAGGCCTGTTGGGTGGATGGAATTGATACTTGATGCTGTAGGCCTGTTGGGTGGATGGAATTGATGCTGTAGGCCTGTTGGGTGGATGGAATTGATACTTGATGGCAACTATCAGCCACTTCAGTGTTTGTTATGAATGATTTTTAAAACTTACTTCTTTGTTATCAAAGTATATTCTTGAAGAACATCAGATAGTTTAAACTTCAGGGGCTTCTCGGAAATAGTAGGTGGGCAGTCGACAGAGGGGAACTGGTCTTTACAATGGCTAAGCTAGACAGTTTGTGTTTTTGTGATGTGGTGACTTGAATCCATTGCTCTCAACCACTGGTTCACCCCCCAGATTTGATTACAGGATTTAGAATCTATGTCAAAACATCGCCTCCACAGAATAAAAGAAGTTGTAAATGCCCATCAAAGAAGGATTTACACACTGCTGCAGAATAGATGGATTGATGCAGTTCTCCTAAATTGTTTGACATGTCAGCATTCACTCCTTCCTCGAGCCGTGGATCAAGCATGGAGGCCTTGATCACGGTGAAGAAGTAGGTGGTGAGGAGATTCTGATCACTGAAGGCCATTGATTGACCATGCCAGCTGCGTTAGGTTCCTGCAATCGTGTGCCGATCACAGAACACCCACAGAAGGGAAGGGGATAAATAATTTGGAGCACCTTGTCTATTGATGTCCCCAGTTGTGTGTTGGGTTCCATCACAAACTGCTGTACTCTCAAGGACAACGTGACATTGATCAGGGGAGACAAGTAAGTATGGTAGCCAAGTACCATACTGCTCCACCATCACTGTATGGGATGATGGTTAATCAATCCTTCAAGCATTCATGAATGGACATGGCTAATTTCTTCTACTGGGGTAGTGATGTTATGGAAAAGAAATGTTCTAAGCAATACAACTATCGCAAGTCTACATTTATGTTTGAGACTTTTGTACAGGCATACTGCATGGATACCTTATTGGAAGTGTGCATGACGGTTGTTAGTTTGTTGCTGTGAGTTGAGCCTCCAGCCAGTTGAGCTTCCTGTTTGCTGGACCCAGACCAATTGACCTTTTCGGGAGTTTGAACAATTTCCAAGCAAGAAGACTAGCCAAGGGGAGGATGAATCAATCTGATAGTTGTGTAGATCAAGTTGACCAAATTTCATGTCTAGACGCCAGTTTAGTGGCAGTGTGCTGAAAGTAAGTACAGATCGCTGATTTAATGTAACAACTCATACTGTCACCATGTACCTTTGGGAGACAGCAGTGTCCTCGGTCACCATGCACCCTTTGGGAGACATCAGTGTCCTCTGTCACTATGCACCCTTTGGGAGACAGCAGTGTCCTCGGTCACCATGTACCCTTTGGTAGCAGCAGTGTCCTCGGTCACCATGTACCCTTTGAGAGACAGCAGTGTCCTGGGTCACCATGCACCCTTTGGGAGACAGCAGTGTCCTCGGTCACCATGTACCCTTTGGTAGCAGCAGTGTCCTCGGTCACCATGTACCCTTTGGGAGACAGCAGTGTCCTCGGTCACCATGCACCCTTTGGGAGACAGCAGTGTCCTCGGTCACCATGTACCCTTTGGTAGCAGCAGTGTCCTCGGTCACCATGTACCCTTTGGGAGACAGCAGTGTCCTCGGTCAACATGTACCCTTTGATGTGTCCCGGTCACCATTTGGTAGCAGCAGTGTCCTCTGTCACCATGCACCCTTTGAGAGACAGCAGTGTCCTCGGTCACCATGCACCCTTTGGGAGACAGCAGTGTCCTCGGTCACCATGTACCCTTTGGTAGCAGCAGTGTCCTTGGTCACCATGTACCCTTTGAGAGACAGCAGTGTCCTCGGTCAACATGTACCCTTTGAGAGACAGCAGTGTCCTCGGTCACCATGTAACCTTTTGTAGCAGCAGTGTCCTCTGTCACTATGCACCCTTTGGGAGACAGCAGTGTCCTTGGTCACCATGCACCCTTTGGGAGACAGCAGTGTCCTCGGTCACCATGCACCCTTTGGGAGACAGCAGTGTCCTCAGTCGCTGCAGGTGCTTGGTGATGTCAGGGATGACTCTTGCTGCTGAGTGTTGTCAGGGCACATGTGTAGGAAGAGGGAGTCAGTGGACCAGTGGTTGACGTCGTGAGCAGCAATCCCACCCATGAGCGTACAATGTCACACCATCTGGGGCTATGCAAAACTGTTTATATAACCTGACATACACTCAGGTGTGTCCACATGAAATGCATATCCTTATTAATGCATACAAAGATCGATCACTGTTTTTGCAATAGTTTCATAATTCACAGTATTTTTACCTATAGTGGCAAAGGTAAATCATAATTTCACATTTAGTTGCTTCCTTTTCTGTTGCAAAATAATTAGCCAAGCTTTACATCAAAATGTTACGACGACCTGAGAAAAAAAATAACTTAATGACAGTGCATTGAAAACTGAGATCATACATTAGATCATTTTCAATTACCCCTGAGAGTGGCAGTCCTAGGGTTGTGCCAGGCTAACAAAGCAGACCTAGACAATGGAACAAAGAACACGCTGCCAAGGCTTACCTGATTGGCTCCTTGCAAAGAACAGACATGTTTGCACAGATTAATTTGGAATTTGTATTCTGATGATTTTGGCTTCAATTTATTCAGGAAATCATCTGTAGTTGGAGACAGTGTCTAGACTAGGAGATACTCTGCTGTCTCCTTCATCAGAGGGTTAATTATCATCATATTTTTTCTTGCTAAAGCTTGGATGTCTATCATGAGTCAAATGCTTCGTCTTTGTCCAGTTTTCTGGTAATATCTTTTTGTTTGATTTTTCAGAGTGTGAGTGTAAACCGGTTAAAAGGGTATTATCTGTTCCGAAAACATTGATTTTAGATATGTAGCATAACTAAACACATAAAATATATCAGATATACTGACAATTTGGAAATCAAACCTACAGTTACCAATCAAAATGGCTTATATTTTCATAAAATGCTGAAAAGAAATAGGTTTGTGTAGTTCATGAATACATAATATTTTTTGTTTATCTTTCTGTTCATAGTAGAGACTGTTGTGAGATAATGAACAATGTATATACTGATAATAATATTGATAAGAAGTGATTACACTTGCTTTACACTTGCTCAACACTTGCAGTAGAGTGGATAGAAACTATTGTCATGTGACTGATAGCAGCCACTGCCACACCCCCTTTCTGGCGGTGCGGCTGTACAAAGGTAAATATTGAACTTCTTAAGAGCAGTTCCATACCTTTTGCTGGTAATTACATGTGTAAATTATTTTAAAATGTAATTTTAGAAATGTATTTTGACCTGAACTGTGACATGGGAATATTTTAGGCTGAATAAATGAAAGTATTTGAACAAAGTTTAAAACAGGGCTATAATCTACAGTCAGCATGGTATGAAAGCTTTTCAAGCACTTCCAAATCCTTCAACAAACAGACGATAAAAATGACAAGCGACAAACAGTTTGGAGTGTGATTGGAGACAGAGCAGCTGACCATGAGCTTTAAGTTTGTTTTTTAAGTCGGTGATGAGTTTAACACACAGTTTGGAGGTAACATCCCATCCGTGGTCTGTAACCTGAATTTGTGATGGCAAAGGTGGTAAGGGCCAGTGACAAGACCAGATTGGATATGAGTCGATGTGTGGTGCTGGATTTGAGAAGAGACGATATATGGTGTTCATGGAAGCCTGTTTGACAAGGAGACCTTGCTATCTATTCAATGTTGGACAATGAGCTGTGACTTTAGGGGTACTTGTTATGTTGTAGTTCAAAGTACAATTTGAGTTTTCGATCATGATGTCGTGAAAGCTTTCAGTAAATGTTCATTCATTTCTCACACTTGGTGTGACATGTATCCACACTATCACCACTATCCACACTATCACCACTGTTGGTATCTTTTTGGCTATATTTTGCTGTTGAGCTTCGTATCATCCAGGTGAATTTTATTAAATGCACTTTAGGCTTGTGAATATTTAATCAAGGCAATCAGATGTTGTGTACAGGTGAAACATATACCAGTGACTTCCAAATAAACCTCATCATGATCATTACTATTGAATAAACCAACATCTTTTCCAAGGGGCTAATATCATTTTTGTATTTCTCAATCAAAGCATTAAATTTGTCTCGGTGATAATATAAGAAAAAAGAATTCACAAGTATTATCTGGGAATAAAGATTTACATTTTGTGTAATTACATTATTTAAAATCTGTGTAACTAGTTATTATCTCTTAAAAGGATAATATCCTTATGAGTAATGAATATACATTCCTAACTCCATTGAGAGGGTTACTCAGTGTGTTATTACTATTTAAGGTCATGTTCTGGATGGATGCACAATCATGCAAACAGATTTACCCCAGAGCACAGTGACTCAATAATGAGTAAAGGGGGGTAACTCTAACCAGCATGGTGACAGACATTCCTGACATGCAGAACACTATTGCAAAGTACAGACCTGTAAACTGGACTGAGATATTTTCAAAATACCAACCCCATTCACTTGTGAAATTTGAGAGTCTACAAAAGCCAAGCTTAATTTGATTTCTCACTCAAGAAATATTTCAGTATTTGTGTTTGAACAAAGGGCCAAGCTGCAGTGTTTTGCTTCACTGATCATGCATTGACAATACCTGCAATCAGGTGTGGTTTGTTAGGGGCATTGCTGTCAGAGGAGAATAAAGGTAGCACTCATTGTGTTGCCCTGTAATATCATTGTAGCTTGGACAGGACATCTTGTGATGTAATATGATGTGAAGAACTTAGGCTTTTCTTCAGTAAGAGGATAAACGATCAGTGTGTGAATTGAGAGCTAATCTTTTTCTGTACCTATTAAGTGAGTTCAGGTGCTATTTATAAAAACACATGCCTTGGTAAAGGGTTTGGAGAGTTTTGAAGAGGATGGATGTTGTGTATTGCTGTGTAATATCCCAACAGATGGCATAACAAAGAAGTATGGTGGTCGTCCTTCAGGTAGTCAGGTAGTTGTGTCTCATTTCTTTCACCGCTTTCATGATTTAAATATTTTCAAACATTTGAAATTTAAACTGGCTTGTTTATTTGGAGTATGTTTACTGTCAAGGTATTTTATAACAATATTTACATTTGTTTTTGTTTGTCTGTCTCTTTGAGGCCATCTTAATATTGCTGTCTATCTAAACAGTGATCAGAAGAATGTTTGTGCTTTTCTTAAATTTGTTGTATTCAAATAATGGGTTTGGTTTCTTAGTGCGCATTTCAAGAAAAGTCATTTGACATTGACAAGATATATGTTTCTGGCTTTGTTGAGGTTAGTGCTTGCTTGATGCTACTGTGGATGGGTTGTAGATTTGTCCTCGCAGACAACGTTTGCACAGTGTTGTAAAGTAAACGTGTAGTGTCAGCCCACAACCTTCTCCTGTGGTGAGAGTGAAGTTGATATGTACGTGTCTGTTGACAAGTAGATTGGTTACATCACTGATGACACGAGGGTGATATAGATCTTTAGCTACGTGCTAGCGACAACAAGGGACTATAACAGTGACTGGGTTGATATGAAGAAGTGGATGGTTTAGATCTGTTACTACTTTATACTGATATAGATAGCTGCTCAGTGTCGAGCTATAGAGTACAAGGTATATTAATTACTTGTATGTGTTGCTGGCAATTGGGGGAAATGTTTTGTAGAGTAAGTGAGTTAAAATTGAATGCTGCATCAGTGGTATTTTAGACATATAATGATTAGACCAAGTTTATGCCTATACAAAAGCTCATAAAGTACCTAACGCAGTTATTTTGAAACTGAAATTCTGAAAAGTAAATGAACTGATTTCGGAGATTTCAACCATAGATTTGCCTGTAGAGAAGCTATTTCACTGTTAGTAAATCTGAAATAAAGTATGTTTTGTATTCTTTACTACAATATACTTTACTAAAGATGCAAGTCTGAATAGCTTTACATAAATTTTATGGTTATATATTTTGAGAAGATAAAACAAAATGACTTTCTTGGTTCAAAGTTCCGGTTTGGATTCTACACCTAATAGTCTGTGAAGATATTTGATAAATGAGGAAGTTCAGCATTAACCCCTGAGATGTTAATCTTCTGAGTGCGTGTTTGAACTGACAGTTGATTTCAAGTTGTCACAGCCAGTTTGTTTCATGTATGTTTGGGATTGCTTGTATATCCTCTGGTGTGTAGACCGGGAAGTTTGTCGGACAGACTTAGCCTGTACTGACTGCTGGCTTTCTTTCTCATTCAAATTCTGTATTGAAAGTGACTTACAATTCAGGTCTACTATGTTACAGTTGCTATATAGGTCACATTTCTTACTGCTTATATTGATTGACATTTGCTGAATATAAACATAGTTGTACATTGCACGTAAATTTCAGTTTGGGGAACATTATGGAAGGTTTATCACTTATCACTTGTATTCTTTAGAGTCTTAGGTCTTAATTTCCCACCAGTGAACATTGATGCTAGCTGGGTCTAGGTCGACATGTAGCCTTAGTGGTACAGACTGCAGTGAACAGTTCAGGGTGGTTGCGTTAATGTCTTGTAACTGTCTACAATGGCCATTCTATTGCAGGGTGACTTGGAACAGCTGGGAAGTATGTGAAGTGTTTATATGAAGAGGACATATTGATGTGAGATACATATTGGAGTTGTACCATTACCGACTCAGGATACATTGTGAACCAGTCGCCCGTGGGGAGGTACACACTGATCTTATTGATGATGTATTGACCAGTCATCTATTGTCAACTGTTTAGTGCAGTGGAAGAAGATGTGAATGAGAAGTACTTCCTACCTGTTCTATAGCTGGTGAAGAGCTGTGTCCTGCTGCCCCATTGTGGTATCCTGTGATGGACGTCTGCCAATCAGAAATAAACTTGCATAAATAAAAAGCCTGGGAAAAGAGGAAAATATTAGTTTTCATCCGTGTGTCTATGTCACAGTGACTCGGCGGAGGTGATGGGATATCACTTGAGGCCAGTAGCTGGAGTTTTGTCAGATACGTGTAACACCATCCTGATCATCAACATTCCCCAGAAATAGTTCTACCTTTTGTTTCTTTAATAGAACAGACTTGTCTACAATTTCATTGCCTGACATTAAGTTTCAACTGATGAGCCCATAACAAGTGGAGCGTATATCCCAGTTTGTAAGCAGATGACATAAGTGTTATGTAAGTTGACATTCCCTTCAAGGCATGTGAGAGCTGGTCAGTCCAGTCCAACCAGGGCCAGCATCAGCTCACTGTGACACACACATCACATGAGACATACAGTGATAGCTAAACATTTGACCAGGTGACATCTATACAGCAGCTCCTGGTCTACCTGGCTTACATTCAGAAGATGCCTGCTCTTGATGGCAAATCTGAAATGGCAAATACCAGAAGTAAGGTGACGGTGGAGATCGGCGTGGCCCGGAGGGTGGAACAGCAGTGGCAGGAGGGCATGAAGCCAGTGGTCCTGGTGGGCTGTCACTGTGAGGAGTTCGGCCACACCATGAGGAATGCAGAGGATCCCATGACGTCAAGTGACAGAGACTCAGAAGAGAAGACCCTGTCACAAGACAGCTTTTGTGAGGACTCAGACGGATACGGTGTACAGAAAGATGTTGTCAGTGATGTGGATTGGCAGAGTTGTGACAGTGAAGAGAGTAGCATGAAAACAGCAGTGTTAGAAAACAGTGAGAGTACAAAAAGGAAACATATTGCAGTCTCAGAGCAAGACAAAAACTTTAATGATGATGAACATTCTGAATACAAATACATAAAGGTTGTATCAACAGAAAACAACGATGTTTGTGAGAGACAAATTGTCCCTCCAGGTGTGGATCCTGGTATAGGGGCTACAGATTTGGAGGAGGATTCTAGGAATGACAGTCAGATATACTCAGGGGAGATTACAAAGTCAAAGGATTCTCAGATGGAGAGCAGTGTAGCATCAGTTGACACACATGGGGATTCATGCAGCGCTGATGATAGGGAGCATGACGACACTGGTCTGGGTTCAACACTTGACATGTCTGTGGCAAACAACAGTATTAAGACTGACGATGAAACTGATGTGACCAAGGACTCTGCCATTGTTATGGACAGTCCAAGTGGGCAGGATGTTTCTTGGAGTCTCCTGGATGATGTTCAGGATGATCTCAGTGTCTCCAGTAGGAGTGAGTCCAGTCACTACGACCTTCTGGTTGTCACGGCTGATGTTTCCACCAGTGGAATAGAGGACGATGAGGTTGCACACAAGGATGACTTGGTTGTAGAGAGTGCTACTGGTGGAGTAGAAGACGATGAGGTTGCACACAAAGATGACTTGGTTGTAGAGAGTGCTACTGGTGGAGTAGAAGACGATGAGGTTGCACACAAGGATGACATGGTTGTAGAGAGTGCTACTGGTGGAGTAGAAGACGATGAGGTTGCACACAAGGGTGATGTGGTTGTAGAGAGTGCTACTGGTGGAGTAGAAGACGATGAGGTTGCACACAAGGATGACATGGTTGTAGAGAGTTCCACCAGTGGAGTAGAAGACGATGAGGTTGCACACAAGGATGACATGGTTGTAGAGAGTTCCACCAGTGGAGTAGAAGACGATGAGGTTGCACACAAGGATGACATGGTTGTAGAGAGTTCCACCAGTGGAGTAGAAGACGATGAGGTTGCACACAAGGATGACATGGTTGTAGAGAGTTCCACCAGTGGAGTAGAAGACGATGAGGTTGCACACAAGGATGACATGGTTGTAGAGAGTTCCACCAGTGGAGTAGAAGACGATGAGGTTGCACACAAGGATGACATGGATCATGAGACAACACATGCATCTGAGGAGTCCATAGAAGATGAAGAAACAGCTTCTAGACTTGACAGTTTTATTGTGACAGATGTACAGGAGAGTAGACAGATTTCTAGTCATTTGGAGAGAGTGGAGACCAATTATACCTCAGAAAACACACCCAGTCAGTATGAGAGCAGGGAAGTGACCAGTATTAAGAAACAAGTGAATATGTCAGACATGGACATGGGTGTGTGTAGTGTTGGTACGTCTGGTGTTGTTACAGAGCAGGGCAAGGACACTGATGAAGGGCTTCCAGTTGAGGCTGATGCTTCTGTTGAAGCGATGCACCAGAATACATCAGGACTGACTGATGCAGTGGACAATCATGAAGAAACTGTCACTACTAGAACCAGTTATGTTGTAGACAGTGCAACAACATCCACCAACATTCCAGAACCATTTACAACTGTCATACCTCACACAGATGCAATACCAGATAGTGGCAACTCTTTTGCTGTAGTAGACAACCCATATGCTTTGACAGATGTATCTACAACACTCTCTGAAGGTGGTGATGTTGATACATTATTACAATCAGTTTCTGCAACTGAAACTGTGTCCATGGTTACAGAAACATCAGTCAGTATTACAGAACAAGAAGATGATATAGACAAAGATCTCCTCAAGGACAGAGAGGAGTTCAATGGCCATGATGGCAGAAACTCAGGAGAAGCTCCAGCTGATGCTGACGGGACTGACAGAAAGACTTCAGTGTATATCTGGGACAGAAACTGCCAACACGCTGAAGGTAGTGATGTACCTTGCCTTGGCGATGCAGAAGGAAAGGATGTGACTCTACCAGGGGAAACTGATGAACCAAACAGTGACAGTTGCTCCGAAGATGGAGAAATACCAAAGACAGAGGGAAAGGGTGTGACTCTACCAGAGGAAACTGATGAACCAAACAGTGACAGTTGCTCCGAAGATGGAGAAATACCAAAGACAGAGGGAAAGGGTGTGACTCTACCAGAGGAAACTGATGAACCAAACAGTGACAGTTGCTCCGAAGATGGAGAAATACCAAAGACAGAGGGAAAGGGTGTGACTCTACCAGGGAAACTGATGAACCAAACAGTGACAGTTGCTCCGAAGATGGAGAAATACCAAAGACAGAGGGAAAGGGTGTGACTCTACCAGGGGAAACTGATGAACAACTTGGTGACAGTTGTCCAGATGATGGAGAAATACCAAAGACAGAGGGAAAGGGTGTGACTTCGCTTCCTGAAATACCATGTGAAACTGATGAATATGATGACAGGTGCTCAGAAGATGGAGACAAACCAAAGACAGACACTGAGGACAAGGAACTGAATTCAGATTCCATGAAAAGCAATGGAGTGGATAACACAATCAGTGGTCGTCTTTTGGATGAGGAAACACTCCAACATGTTAGGGTTGATCTGCTAACTTCTGGAACAGAAACTCCAGTGGCCCTGTCCTCCTCAACTCCTGCTAAACGGGCAGACCACACAATCTGTGATACTGAAGACTTTCATCAGAACCATGAGACATCTCTTGATGATATTCACCTGGAAACGTCTGTGCATGAGAGAGTGGCCAGTTTGGGCAGGAAGGCTAGTGATGACAGCGTGTTGGGTGGATCCAGTGAACATAGGTCTCAAACACTCAGACCTAAACAGGTTTCCCACAGAAACTTGGAGACAAACATTTCTAAATTTTCGTTGTCAGTGCCAAATCTTGTTGAGCATGTACAGGACAATACATCAAATTTCCATGACCCAAGTTTGAATGATCTCAGGAATCGTCGCAAGTCCGTCCAAGCAATAAAAAGCTTGTTTGAGAAACAGTCAATGGAAGAAAAGAGCCCGAGGAATAAGGTAATTCTATCTCAGTGTTCAAAGCAGGGATTGTCAGAATTAAATGATCAGTTTCTACCATTTCATGATAAATATATTTTTATATGTTTAGTTTTCTGCATTATGCTTCAAAACATGTACTGTTTTAGGATCTCATCTGGAAAACAGATTGAACATTGTTAACCGTTATTGTCATCATCATCATCATCATCATCATCATCACCACCACTAGTAGTAGACAGGTATAGCCCCTTAGATGAAGGGTTGTTCTGAAGAATGTTGTATGTGCATCCGTTGGATTGTATTAATGGTGGAGTGTTACTCCCAGGTGACCTACAGATCCAGGTCGTTTATTTCACTCTCTCCCTCGAGCCCAAATCCTCCAGAATATACCTCAACGACTTCACTCCGATTGAACCAATCAGATAATGTACAGAGTTATCACTCGTCTCGGGTAATCGTAAGTAATGCATCTGAAAATTATTATCCATTGCTTTGAGTGAGATTTTCCAGGCAATTCAAATGTACCAATTCTGAAAAATATTCTGTTGCTTCCATCAAATAAAAAATGTATTTTGTGTGAACTGATTGGTCTGACAAACAGATTGATTTAGATATTTAACTCAATGACGTTGAGTTTGATACTACAGCCTAAGCCTTTTCAAAATCTCATTTTGGTTTCATGTCACACAAGGCACTGTAAATCTCAGTTGTCTCCCTTTGACTGTAAACCTTTACATTTGACTTGAGGCCTGCATGTCTCTTAAAGCAACTGGGTAATAGTGATCAGATGCATAATATATAAAACATTGTATTGTGTACCACAATTCATTTATAGTCATTATTTACATCAATACATGGTATTTATTTCTGTGTCACAGCCTTTTGTAATGGGTGCTTTCCATTTCACTTCATTGTTTTTTTCCGTCGATAGAAGAGTTAATTTTATTCACAAATTTTCAAACGAACTTTGTTTTGGGAATAATGTTCATATACTCATGCCAAAAATGGTTGTCACCCCCTTCAATTTTTTTAATTGGCGGGGGGGGGGGTGGGGTGTGAGGCCTGTGTAGGGTTGGGGGAGGGGGTTTGAAAACCATTTTTGGCATGAGTATATGTGGATTTTCACATTTATGATTTCAGTGAATACACCTTTTGATTAAAAATTATTTTTCACAGATTCTGAATTATCAAACAAGATATTTGTGTACAAATGATTTACAATTTTCTTACAATTTTGTTTTGTTTTTTTGTCATATAACATTATAATTAACATCTTCTCATACATCTCTTGTCAGTCTTGCTATGAAATCATCATATTAGTCCCATCATTTAATGTGTACTTAGTGTGTATTATGTGTAATCCCGTAGCAAGTGTTCAGTGGTTGTATACCACTGTTATTATAATACCTGTATCATACCAATATTAACTAAATGTGTTTGTTGGGTTCTTAATACAAATATACACAACATTAGTCCATGGAGAAAGTCATAATGTGAGATTATCATAATCATTCATATCAAAGTATCAATATTTATCATATTTGTGGAGGTAAAATGGGTGATATGACACACATCACACCTGATTATTACCCTTTATCATCCACGTACCCATGCTCATGTGTAAATTTGATGATATTTCATATTTTAGTTTTTCTCTCCACATTCAACTGACTAGGATATAGAAAAAATTGTGAAAAATTAATTTAAAAAATAATTAACTTTTATATCTTGAGCATGTCATGTTGGTAAACACACCTTTGAAAGATTTTTCTTCAAACTATGTGCTCAATATTTATTTTCAAAATAGGTGTGTATGCAATGTTCGAGCCATGGAGGCACTAAGAGTAAATGCTGAAACCACTGCCCCACCACCCCACATAAGTTTGTAGAGGTTTTAGTTGACTTTATATTGTTCTATTGAGAAAGTTAGTGTAATCAAAATATCAGATAAAGACATGTTGTTTGCAAAGAAAAACATAACAGATTTGGATGTTTGCAGAAATCTGATGTTGTGGGGTTTACAATGAACATGTATATTTCTGCATGCGGATGTCTGCCTCTGTCTGTAACACTGTCTGCTTTGTTGCCATAGTAACATTTTTCACTATAAGCTGTGTGGTTTTGTCAGGAGTTATAATTTGTTGCTTTGCTGTTTGTTTTGCATTTGATGTTTGTTTTGTTTTTAAAGTTTGCATTGAAATTTAGATTCGTAATAAGATCGTTTAAGCATGCTACTTATCTTACATTATTAACTATCCAGATGAAACATAATTATAAATAATATGTTCTTCAGAAACTGTATTAATGATGCATGTAAATGTTAATATTTTCATGATTTTAGTTAAAATCATCTGGATGGAGAAGCTTGTTTTAATGTATTTATGAAAGTGTCTAACTATTTGAAGTTTGTCAGTTATGTGAATGTCAGTTTGAACAGTAATGTAAATGACACTGGACCCAATGGTTAGGGTATCGCCTTGACAACTGATGAAGCACACACTACAATCGTTCCTAGCTAGTGTTCATTTCTGTCACGTCTGAACTTTAAAACTCACCTGAAGAGTAATTAGAAACTGTAAAAAGTGAATCAAAGTAGACTTACCTGAGACCGATGTTTACATTGTGCAGGTAAAACACACAGTGGAAAGACGGTGATAATTGAAGGAAGGGTTGCACTCCAACATAGGCTTAGCACATGCAGTGTTAGAGAGTGGTACCCGCCTATACACATTAACAACGGGGCATGTAGAAATTCACTAAGGAAGCCCAAATAGCATCTCCATGTATAGGATCCACCTTGGCAGTGCTGCAACTATGTGTTCTTCCAGCTTGTTGATACCAACATGCTGCCCCTGTATAACACCTCAGCGACAGGGGCATCACTGTGTACATTTCATTGCAATGTACATCGTACAAGCACTACCCTCATCTAAAACCTGCTTCAAGTCCTCAGGGGAGCTGAGCCTTTGTGAATTTGTTTACAGATGCATGTTTACCATTTTGGCAGTATATTGAGGCTGTGTGTTTGTGTGAGAGAGAGGCCGAATGGTACACCCACTCTGTCTTTCCACCATAGGTATATCGGCTGCTGTAAACCGACACCACTCACAACAAGTGGTAGTCTTCCCAATCACAAGGTTTCGTGTTTTTTCTCCGGTGACGACTCCTGCCATTTCCCCCAAATATCCAAGTTTTAGATCCGCGGACTGACTTCCGTGTCGGCCTCCACCCCAAAGATTCTGGCAGTTCCTGGTTTCACCGGCCAAGTCACCTTCCACCCTCACTGTCCAGTGTCAGTTATAGTGTCAGACTTGATTACATAGGTTGTCCATCATATTGCAATGGCCAAACGTTGGAGTACAGGAAGTAGAATGAATGTTTCTTATCAATATTCACAGGAAGAACAAATTTCTCAAGATGGCCGAGTCATATCCAGATCCAAGGATGAGAAGAGATATTCAGGTAAGTTCATTCTTCAATTTCTCAATTCGGCTCAAAACAAAGAAGAAATGGAATAACTTACAATATTTGCAAACAATTCTGTTCCACATGTCTTTAATTTTCTGGGATGATTTGTGATATCATAATCAATTCATCCAATTGAATGTCCCTTTATTATCAACTTGTTCATCCTCACCTCAGGAGACCTGTATCCAACATTAAAAGGAAATCCTGAAAAGTATTGCTTCCCAATATCCTGAGCAAAACTATTGCATTTTTAAAACAATATTGACGTCAACCTATAGAAGGAGTTAACTCCCTTGACGTGTTACCTGCATCCCATATGTCTCTTGGTTGTGACATTTCCTCTTAAATCTGTCAATTAAGTTTGCAATAGATGGATTGAGATCCTTTCTTTCTGTGTACTGAGTGTGTGCCTGTGACTGATGTATGTTTCTCAATGGCATGTTTGACATGTTTTTGTCCACTGAGGTGAGTCATGAAGAGGTAAAAAGTCTGAAGAGTTGCTTGATTGACATTCAATGTTCCCAAAGGGTGTATGAGAACAAGGTAGATCAGCAGGTAGTTGACAGGTGCTTCAAGGCTCTGGATAGAGCATTCAGGATAAAGACTGCATACATTCAAAACCTGTTGTTGTTTTTAAGTGTCATTACAAGAACATGTTTTAAGACCTCTATTCATCAATAAAAACATAGTTTTTTAGATCCCTTACGCGAAATTGAAATGAGGTTGAGAATGATTTGGCTGTTTGATTTCAGAGAACTAGATGAAGTTCTTCAATTGAAAGTACAATTACTTTTGTAATTTATAAAGATGAGGTGCACAATGTCCACAATTCAGACAGTGATGAAATGTATGTGAGTCTACTATTTAGTAGTAGTATAAGCCAGGGATGGGGCGGTGTGGTAGCCTAGTAGTTAAAGCGTTCGCTCATCATGCTGAAGGCCGAGGTTCGATTCCCCACATGGGTACAAGGTGTGAAACTCCGTTCTTGTGTCCCCCGCCGTGATATTGCTGGAAGATTGCTAAAAACGGCATAAAACCTCACTCACTCAGTCACTACAAACCAGGGAAGCAAATGTTCAAGCAAATAAAATTGGAGTACAGGCTATAACATGCACTCTGTATGCCAAGAAACAATAAAAAACAGTTGTGAGTTTCCAAGGTACCTGTTCCCAGCACTGCCACTGCGGTGACAACGGTAGCTCCATCCCTCATGTTAGCACCATTACCCCTCCCCTCCTGATTATAGTCCTCCCCTCCTGATTATATTCCCCCCTACCTGGCATTGTGCCACGGCTTTATAGTCAGCTGATCATATAGTGTCTATTACCAGTTTGTAAAGAGGTAGGATATCTCTCACTAACAGGCACCACATAATTAGCATTAGTGTTAAGGTTTATGCTGTTGCTAGCTACGATAGTGAAGGTGACTTTTCACAGGGATATCCTGAAGATTGCCCTCTACTGATGAATAAAGAAATCAGGAATTACTTTTCTTGTTGAAAACTTGAAATTGACTATCCACCTAGAATGCAGTCTATGATCAAGGAGAGGTGACTTGTATACGACCTGCTTACTTGTGATGAAATGTGTGATGACTACTCAGCTCGCTATTCTACCTTGCCCATTAGGAGAGTGTATAGTGTATATTCCTTATTTGAATATTCAGCTGACTTTCTCCCACACACAGTAATGACATCAGACAATTATAGATTCAGTATGAATCATTGGCAATGGGGTATCAGGAGTTTGCTTTATCCATACATGTTTTACATTACTATACAAAGGGAACACATTCTGCACACAATCTGGCGAGACAGAGTAACCCTTCTCGTCATTTCTGCGTATTACAAAACGTAAGAGAATTCACAGTTCAACCACTTGGTGATGATATAAGTTCTTATTCAGGGCCAGTGGGTATGGACGTGTTGCCATGATACAGTATGTATATAGTCGTTTACAGGTCACTCTGTACAGCTGTATATCGTATTTTCCCACATGTAGGAAGGCTGTGGACTATTTAGCATTGGCATCTTTTGATTCCTTGTACAGGAATAGAACTGCTGGCATATGTGATGACTGTTCAGATTTATTTCTCCTACTCACTTGATGCATGATATTGAATTTAGATTGGAAGAAAATAGAATATGTACTGCAGCTGAAATCATGCAGGCAGATAAAAACAAGGGAGTAATTATATGGAAGAGATTTCCAGATGTTCTGGATGCTACCGTGTAGCCAATGCTGTAGAGTGGTAATTACTGCCAGGATCTCTACAGTAGTCAGTCTACCTGCTGACCTTGCTGAACTGTGGTTGTGGTAGTCATGGATACTGCTATGTTATCCGCTGGTACCGCCATCACTTGATGTTCTCTGTGGGTACTGCCATCACTTGATGTTCTCCGTGGGTACTGCCATCTCTTGATGTCTTCCGTGGGTACCACAATCACTTGATGTTCTCCGTGGGTACTGCCATCTCTTGATGTCTTCCGTGGGTACCATCTCATCTTCCGTGGTACCGCCATCACATGCTGTTATCCATGTGTACTACCACCACTTGATGTCTTCCGTGGGTACTGCCATCACTTGATGTCTTCCGTGGGTACCACCATCACTTGATGTCTTCCGTGGGTACCGCCATCTCTTGATGTCTTCCGTGGGTACTGCCATCTCTTGATGTCTTCCGTGGGTACTGCCATCTCTTGATGTCTTCCGTGGGTACTGCCATCTCTTGATGTCTTCCGTGGGTACCGCCATCACTTGATGTTCTCCTTGGGTACCGCCATCTCTTGATGTCTCCATGGGTACCGCCATCACTTGATGTCTTCCATGGTACCACTATCACTTGATGTCTCCCATGGGTACCGCCATCACTTGATGTCACCCATGGTACCACCATCACGTGATGTCTGTGATGGTATCATCATCACTTGATGTCTCCATGGGTACCACCATCACTTGCTGTCACCCATTGGTACTACCATTACGTGATGTCTGTGATGGTATCATCATCACTTGATGTCTCCATGGGTACCACCATCACTTGATGTCACCCATGGGTACTACCATTACATGATGTCTGTGATGGTACCATCATCATTTGATCTCTTCTGTGTGTACTGCCATCACTTGGTGTCATCCATGGGTACTACCATGACTTGATGTCACCCATGGGTACTACCATCACTTGATGTCTGTGATGGTACCATCATCATTTGATCTCTTCTGTGTGTACTGCCATCACTTGGTGTCTTCCATGGGTACTACCATCACTTGATGTCTTCCATGGGTACTACCATCACTTGATGTCTTCCATGGGTACTACCATCACTTGATGTCATCCATGGTACCACTATCACTTGGTGTCTTCCATGCGTACCACTATCACTTGGTGTCTTCCATGGGTACTACCATCACTTGATGTCATCCATGGTACCACCATCACTTGGTGTCTTCCATGGGTACTACCATCACTTGATGTCTGTGATGGTACCATCATCATTTGATCTCTTCTGTGTGTGGGGCGGTGGGGTAGCCTAGTGGTTAAAGCATTGGCTTGTCACGCCATAGACCCGGGTTCGAATCCCACATGGGTACAATGTGTGAAGCCCATTTCTGGTGCCCCCCGCCGTGATGTTGCTGGAATATTGCTAAAAGCGGCGTAAAACCAAACTCAGTCAGTCAGTCTTCTGTGTGTACTGCCATCACTTGGTGTCTTCCATGGGTACTACCATCACTGGATGTCTAGGATGGTACCATCATCATTTGATCTCTTCTGTGTGTACTGCCATCACTTGGTGTCTTCCATGGGTACTATCATCACTTGATGTCTGTGATGGTACAATCATCATTTGATCTCTTCTGCCATCACTTGATGTCTTCCATGGGTACCACCATCACTTGTTGTCTTCCATGGTACCACTATCACTTGATGTCATCCATGGGTACCACCATCACTTGATGTCTTCCATGGTACCACCATCACTTGATGTCTTCCATGGTACCACTATCACTTGATGTCATCCATGGTACCACCATCACTTGATGTCTTCCATGGGTACCACCATCACTTGTTGTCTTCCATGGTACCACTATCACTTGATGTCATCCATGGGTACCGCCATCACTTGATGTCTTCCATGGTACCACTATCACTTGATCTCTTCTGTGTGTACCACCATCACTTGATCTCTTCTGTGTACCACCATCACTTGATGTCATCCATGGTACCACCATCACTTGATGTCCTCCAGTGTACCACCATCACTTGATGTCTTCCATGGTACCACCATCACTTGATCTCTTCTGTGTACCACCATCACTTGATGTCACCCATGGTACCACCATCACTTGATGTCCTCCAGTGTACCACCATCACTTGATGTCATCCATGGTCCACCATCACTTGATGTCATCCATGGTACCACCATCACTTGATGTCATCCATGGTACCACCATCACTTGATGTCATCCATGGTACCACCATCACTTGATGTCCTCCAGTGTACCACCATCACTTGATGTCATCCATGGTACCACCATCACTTGATCTCTTCTGTGTACCACCATCACTTGATGTCATCCATGGTACCACCATCACTTGATGTCCTCCAGTGTACCACCATCACTTGATGTCATCCATGGTACCACCATCACTTGATGTCATCCATGGTACCACCATCACTTGATGTCATCCATGGGTACCACTGATTGACTGATACTGTGTGCCTATTTACCATGAGAACATTGATTGATTGATGACTTGCAGTATTAACTGTTTAGACATTTCGTTCATTTGCTGTAGAACATATGAAACAGTATCATAAGAATTTGAGAATTAAACATAGATATATTTCAATAATTTTGCAAATTCATCAGATATTGTCATAGTTTTCATCAGGCATTGTGTCATGACTGACACAAACTCAGACACAACAACAACGGTTTTGATCTCTGACTATTTCCCTTGGTTGCAATGAAAACCATAAAAGAATGTTC